TAGACCCCTTGCCATGTTTTTCCGTGTTGGGTAGACCCACTACTTACCTGATATTGATTTCCTGTAAATTTCTAACTGTAGTGAAGTTTAGTGTTAAAAACTTAAAGTAAAAATCCATGTTAATTTATACATTTATTAATTGAATTTAAATTAAAACTACTCAAAATAAAATTTTGTATCTGTTGTGTAAAATATACGTAACATTAAATAAACAGGTGTCTGACCAATAAGTGCCCGCATTGAAACAAAAAAATAAGAGGGATAAAATAAAAAAAAAGTGAAAAATAAAAATAAAGTTTTTTACTTAAAATAGTACAATAAGCGAGTTCGTTTATTATAATTATAACATAAACGTATGTTCTACAATAATTTCACTGTTAGTTTGATTAAATTCTTATACGTTTAAGTTATCTAAAAATTGGCAAAAAATTAACGAATTTTAGTGTGTACCTATCCTTGAATTTTCAGAATAATTTAAAAAAATATATTTTCTATAAAAAAATCAATGCGGGGACTTATTCCCAATGCGGGCATTTATTGGTCAGACACCAATAAGCATAAAATAAACTATAAATAAAATAACATATGCAATAAGTCAATATTTTTAGTGAGAAGGATGAACCTGATGCTTTAATAATAAATTATCAATATTTGGCGTCAATTTTGTAAGGGTTAATCTTAAATCTCCTCGGCTAATGATGTCCAGTCTGTTTCTTTTTTTCGTTAGGAGATTGGTAACAGCGCTGAACCCCCTTTCCACTAGGTATGACGATGGAAAGGAAATTAAAAATGTCCTCGCTATATTCCATAATACGGGATAAGTAACGGGTATGTTGTTTTGCAGCCAGAATTGCTGATAATCGTTTTTAAACTGAATCTTAAGTTTTTCGTTTGTACTTAGTTCAGTCAGTTCCTCTTGTATTATGACATTCGTTTCTTCTATGTCACCATATGGATTAATTATACACGGTGGTATTACCATAGTCAAAATATCCTCAAACCTAGATTCAAAATCTGAAGGGGCATTTAAATGTTGAACGTAAGTTGAAACGTCGTCTTCCTGGCAGCTTGTCTGTGAAAAATTGGGGAACTGAGAAAATTTGACCCGTCCAATATTTTGCTTCATTAGTTTAACTCTGGCAAGAAACCCTGTTAGGATGGACTTTGTTTTAATCAAATTTAAACTGTCGCCTTGTAATTGCAAATTAACCATATTAAATTTTGTAAACAAATCTGTTAAATAGGCGATGTCTGTTTTCCTCTTCATTAAATTTTCTTTTAAAATTTTATCTTTAGTATCCAGAAATTCTAAAATAGTCTCAAAAAGTGCAAAAAATCTTGTCAAACATAAGCCTTTCGACAGCCAGCGTACTTCAGCGTGAAGGAGTAATTGATGAAAGTGTTCGTCATTTTCTTCACACAACTGTGCAAATAACCGCGTATTCAACGCGTTGCTTCGGATTCGGTTTACTGCATCAATGACTAAATGAAGTGATTCATGCATTCTAACACTCAAATTTTAGCAACTAAATGTTGACGATGGATGACGCCATGTATTGCTAACACTCCTAACACATTTTGTTTTACATAGCTTATAAATCCACGATAACGTCCAACCATGGCAGGTGCTCCATCTGTAGCTACAGATATTATATTTGATAAAGGAATTGCTTTTTCAGTGAAGTAATCCTTCAAAACATGAAATATTGATTCACCTTTATTGTCGGTTTAGAGCAGTTCTTCGTAGATTTCTTGATTCATAATAAAACGAACATATGCCAATAATAATGCTGCATTATCAGGTAAAGTTGACTCGTCCAGTTGTATAGAGAAATGTGTTGTTTGCAAATAATTACATAAGAAGCTTTCAATATCAGAACTCATTTCATCAATGCGACTTTCAACAGTATTGTTGCTTAAGGGAATTCTTTTAATGATATCAGATGCAGGTTTGTGTAAAACAGTTTTTAAAACCTCTTCAACGGCTGGCAAAATTAACTTATCTCCGATAGTATGCGGTTTTCCGGATTTTGCTATAAGTTACGAGATATTGTAAGACGCCCGCAAACCATCATCATTTCTTTGTGACGTCGAAGCGAACATTCTGTCCAGTGTAGGTCTCTTCTGAAATTTATCTTTGAGAGTTTGAAAGTATTTCAAATCTTTCTCTGTTTCATCTTCTCAGATGATCTTGCAGTTTAGATGGTTTCGTAGCGCCATTGCCCAAAACTTTGTTGCATAAAAGGCACATAGGCGATTGTTTGTCCGGCATTGATGGAATGGAGCCAAATTTCAAATAATCAACACTGTACTGTCTACATTTCTTTTTAGATTCGGACATGGCATCAGTCATCTGTGGGCAAAATTAAATTATTTAAATAAGACAGAAAATCCAGCAGCTGTATATTAAAAATATTTTTTGATTTTTCCGAAAACATTCCATAATTCGAACATCTTCTTGCAACAATTAACTCGAATTACGGAGATTGCACTGTAATTATATTACCGATTGCTAAAACTTTCAAAAAGAAACTATTGAGGAGTCCTCGTATAATTTTGCTTGATTGAATATTTAACTACTAATAACTAAAGTCATGATTGGCGTAATTTATCTATCTTTGCTAACTACGAGTACAAAACTAAAATTTAATAAAAAATAATGTACTTACTTTTCTCCAGCACTCTCAAACAAAATAACACTGACTCACTATAATTTGTGTGATATACTATCTGTTTATATTTTTTAAAATATTTTCTTAGCACTTTCCTTTTCAAGATTCAGGAAACGAATAAACGTATTTGTCCCACATTCGTATTTATAGAGTGACGAATTGAACAAGTCAGTGCAAGGTAGCGAAGCTCTGAGACAGCGACTCTCAGTCTTTTACAAGTTCAAAATGTATTGCGACCACAAAGCGAATACCAACATCCTACAACTTACACAATTTTATAGACGTATATAATAATTTTTTACTTCATAGGTACTTTTATAAATAATGTATATGTTTTGATATTATAAGATAGTATGATGTAAGTAATTAGGTACTATCAGTGTATGTGTTGAGATCCACTATCGTGGACCCCCATATTCATTTCATGGACCCCCAAATTTTTTTTCGCTGACGTAGACCCCTTGCAGGTTGTCATAGACCCCTAGGGGTCGATATAGACCACTTTGGGAATCAATGGTGTAGACTGTATTGCAATATAATAGCGTAAAAGTGCCACATGCTTGTCATCAGTCGACAAATGTACCTACACTCCGCAGTTTTGCTTAGTATTATCATCAAGTTTCCTGTCAGTACAAAAGTTAATGTTTCCGAAATCAGGCGCAGATTATTCTCTCAGTTCAGAAAAAGTACCCTTTTATCACGTATACTTTTAAAAGTGCCTGATTAATGAGTTCGAACAGACTGTCGGTTAAAAAGACGTCGACCAGAGCCATTCTACATCAATCACCTTACAACTCAGACCTGTATTACTGTGATATTCCTACGTTTTACCTAACCACTCAAAGAGGCCGTTGGTGGATAACATATCACAACAAACGAGGACTTACGAGGAACAGTTCGTTGTGTAAATCGAAGGGGGCTGCATAGGAAAACGATCAAAATTGGAATCAGAATATTTCTTTGGAAAAAGCTCCTTTAAATTGGACCCATATCAGTAATTTTGAAATATCTTAATTCATGGGATCCCGGACTATTGTTTTATTTATTAGATCATTAGGTGTGTGAAGTGATGAGAATTCATGCCAATGTTTATCCACTATGAAAAGGAAGTGGCCGGTTAATTTTAAGTTTGAACGCTCACAAACGGATATAACTTTCATGACATCATGCCCATTACTTTGAGTCGTAATCGATCATGTGAACAATCACAGTTCACAATTTTTCCACAATATGTAAGTATGTATTTACATATTGTTTTCATTGTTTCATCGATTGGTGATTCTACGTGCCATAAAATAAACTTTCACGATACAATGAACCAGATTTATCGAGCCGGAGACGAAGTGTATCAGGAAATCGTATTGAAATCAAAAATGATCACTGGGGAAAAGGCGCCTTGCCATTGCGAGAAGAAATGTTGAACCCTTCAATTACGACTGTATCTTACGACCAGATAGAAAGTCTGCCACCTATTCGCAAAGCTTCCCTGGGAGGCTCTAAGATGGCAATTTAGGATAGGAAATCAGCATCAACTGATATGACTCAATATATGCTTACTCCACAAATAAATCCTAGAACTTCTTTTGATCTCTGTTGTCGAAAACGTAACTATTCTATTCAAACTGTGACGTTTAAAATACTTAAATTCTCTAATGGAGCTAATCGCAGGAAGGTATGGAATCATCTCTGGTTTTCAGTCCGTGCACGAACCCGCGTTAAATTATCGTCGAGCTGCATGAAAAAAACGCACGTTGATGGATGGATGGATCTCGCTTCGACCCGCATCTATAAGTCCTGACGAGCATTTTGAATGACACGAGCGTCATCCAAATTGTCGCGCTGCAAAACGCGCGTCCGTAGTGTGTCCATCTTCATCAATGTAACGCAAAACGCAGTTTTTTTTGCAGCGCGACAATTCACAAATCATTTGAACTAAAAACCTTTGCTGGTGTTGAATTATGTCGGCATCTTTCTGACGGTTTTGAGTCTAAATGTTTTTGCTTTGCTTTTATCAGTATCAATAAAAACGCCTAATAGACTTTTGCTTACATTTTGTAACCCACCTGTATCTATTTTTTTAAATTGTATTACAGTTGAAAAGACAAAGAGAGTATGGAGCCTTGATCGTATATTCGTAATTTGAGCAGGAAAAACCGAAAAAAGTATTTGGGGCATCCAACAAGGACAAATATACAATTTTCAGTACAATGATGAGCGATAAATTATTTGTATGTATTTCACATTTTAACAACAATTATAACAACAGTAGATGGCAATTTATATCAAATTTTATTCAATGTATGAAAAATAATCACTTCCGTTTTGAGTTGAAAAACGAACCGCGAAGTGTGACAGTCATACCGATCATCTCACTCTCGATGTCACCACAATATTCGGAAACAGATTATTGTGTGTGATGTGGCAAAACAGTGCAACATCATGCAAGTGGTTCGATTCTTCCCCGAAATATTTTTCATCTGGATTATGATCGGAAATGTTACATCGTTTAGAATAAGGGGTAAGTATTATGAACTTATAAAATTGTTTACTACTACTCATGCCAAAAAAAGCATATAGAGTCAGATGTCTTTGAGTTAACATCAGCAAAAACTATTTATACTCACTTCATCAATTTAACCGTTAGCAGTTGACAGTAAGTTTTTAAATTTGTATATGCTTCGTTATCTGTCATCTTACCGATTCTTTTTTAACAGTCATATTTTGAACTCGGTATTTTTAGAAATTTCGCATATTTTGCCCCAAACGATGGGTATTTAGTGCAAAATTAATGTAAGTTGGGATAATTTTGATCGAAATATCTTGCTTTTTGTGCACATAAACCAAATAAACGTATATTTTAATTTTTTCACATAAGCTTCATAGTCTCGGTAAACAATTAATACACAATATTGCTGGATGAAACACTTTAGCACGTATGAGGGACTCTTGCCAGAGCTTTCTTTGACATCAATTTCTTTATTCCCAATACCAAGATATGTCTTATAAAATTTCAGATCCAAGAAGGATAATGACAGCTGGAAACAATCAAGAACACAACCAGAACTACCAAAACCAGAACTATCAAATAAACCAAATCGATGACAATTTTTTCCTAACAACTGCTGTTCCTGATTCTCTACCAACTTCGACACCTGGTATAACCATCGACGAAAATGCAATGCTTACAACACTACCCATAACCATATTAACATCCGAGATCACTGAACCACTAACTACCACATCTCAAAGCACCTCAAAACCAACCACTCATCAAACAACAACTGAAATACAAGAAGAAACAACAGTTGTCACTACACTTTTGACCTCAACTTCTTCGTCTTCTTCTGCAACAATTTTCTCTACCCCAGAATCTAGTGTATACACATTACCCACGTCGTCATCTACCTCGGCCGAAACTAGTTCAGCTGCAACTACAACTATGGAGCTAACCTCAACTACGTCAAATTTGGATTTATCCTCCTCATCTTTAGCTTCAACTATCTTGAGTACAATGACAATTGCTTCAAACAAACCTTCAACAGTACCAGTCACTGAAACAACTTCAGAATCAAGAACTTCTACCTCTTCTCCTACTGAGTCTGACAGCTCAGATGCTATAATATTTCCGGACGAGGATGACAATGTTTCAGACACATATGTGACTTTTCCTCCTCTTATTTATCAACTCATATCATCTCAAGGACAGCGATTTGGTTATGCCGTTCCTGGATTTGTTATTCCCTCAGAAATCAAAATCTACGTGAACTTTCCCAATTCGACTATATTTGTGCCTGGTGTTATTCAAGGTAAGTCAGATCTATCTATATACAGGGTGCGGCAGAGGGGACGGACGTTTTTGGGATAGGTAGTACTCTCCGCCTCCGTCTAGAAGAGAGGTGGGGAGGGTGCCGTTTGACTCGTGAGACCCTAGCATTATTTTACCAGTTGTCGTTATGGAGCCTTGGACGGTGGAGCACCGCGTTTTCGCCTATGATTTTTTCGTCCGAAATAATGAGTCAGTCATCGTCGTACAGCGTGAGTTTCGTCGCCACTTCAACATTCATCGGAATAGAGCTGTTCCCTCTCGAAACACCATCCTTCGTTGGGTTGAATCACTTCGCAGGCGTGATGAACTGATCAACAGAAGACCAAGAGGAGCACCGCGAACAGGTCGCACTCCTGAAAATGTTGAACGCGTTCGACAGGTCTTTCTTCGCAGTCCGGCTCGATCGGCCCGGAAACATGCTGCTGCACTTCGCCTTAGTGATCGTTCGGTAAGGCGAATTTTTCATATGGATCTCCGCTTTCACCCCTACAAATTGGCCATTGTGCAACAGTTACAGCCCGGAGATTATGCACAACGAATGAACTTCGCACGTGGCGATGTTCATTGGCCTCCTCGGTCCCCAGATTTATCCATATGTGATTTTTTCTTATGGCGACACCTCACGGCTAGAGTATATGCGAACAAGCCCCGAACTCTGGACGAATTGAAGGGCGAAATTCGCGTGGAAGTCGCCCAAGTTGATAGAGCGACGTTTAAGAGAGTCTACGCGAACTTAAAATAACGCCTCCAGCACTGCATCAACGATTTCGGCCACCATATGCCTGATGTGATTTTCCACACTTGACTGTCTCAAATGCTATTTAGTTGTGAACCTGAATCCACCAATAAATTTGTTTTCGAGTAAAAATTAACTATTTTATGATTTTTTTAAAACCGTCCATCTTCTCTGCCGCACCCTGTATATTTTATATTTCGGCGTAGTTTCAATTCGTTCAAATAATTAAAATGTTGAATATAACTTACTCTATTTTAAGATGAAGCAAAATTCTATTTTTTAGCAGTTCTACATTATTAATACTATTATCACTAAATAACTAAATCAGTTTACAGCATTCAGCAATATAGATCTGACTTATTCTGTTCATTTGCAGCAACTGCAGATACATTAACAAACAAAACTACCGATAAAGAGGCACCCAAAGAGGACTCATCTAACAAGGCACCATCCGGTAGCAAAAATATTACTGAAAACACTGAAAAACAAGCCGCAACTAACACAGAAGCACCAAACATACAAATACATGTTGACGGGGTATCTGAGGAAAATACCTCAGGTGAAAAAACACTAAAAATATATTACTCAAACAAAAACGCACATAGTATACAAACACCAAATGACGAAGCACGTAAGGAAAAGCATGAAATGGCCACAAATAACAAGGAAATTCTCACCAGCGTAACAACACTCACTGAAGAAACATTGGACACCACCTTATTCACAACACACGACTACGAAGTACCAAATAATGAAGAAGCTATTATACAAACACAAAGCACTACCATAAGCACTGATATTTTGGTCACGCTATCACCTAACACTGGATCAACAATCACTGAAACTGCATCAAACATTATTATAAACGATTTTATAGATACCTTCAAAGGTATAAATTTTTGTTTACTTTCTCAAAATCCTTCATTGTCTTTACTGCTATACTTGTGGTATTATCCCTCTTTTACTCAATCTTTTATTTTGTAAGCCTAGTTGTCCCTCTGAAAAGAAATTTTACCGGAAACCTTTACGAAATGTCGAAACTTCGTGGTAAAAACATAATGTTAAAGACATAATTAAAATGGTTTCCATTGGTCTCGTTGCAAAGGCAGTAAAGATTTTCTGTTAAATACAAAGAATGCCAAAACAAATTCTGTTTCAGAAAATATTGACTTATCGCACAATACCCAAAATAATGATTTTGGTCAGAACTCAGGCCAGTTCGTTGGTCCAACTTCAATTCACAAAATAAGTAAGTTATGTAGTTAAGGGATAAGTCGTGAATATTCAACATCATTTTAATTTCCAGAATGTGAGGAGTATTCTAGCTATTTCAGAAATTTTAAAGATGTACCGAAAGAACAAAATAGTCTTCCTTTCCAATTATTCATTGTTGGTGGAGTAGGGTCTGAGGAGAAAGAATTTCCACACATGGTAAGATCACTTTTTCTGCACTGATATTTCATAACAAAGGAGAGAAACAAGCTCTGAACTAGAGTTTGAACATCCATTTTCAGGCTGCATTAGGATATGGAAAAGGAGAAGAAAAACAATGGCTTTGTGGAGGAAGTTTGATTAGTGAGAGGTTTGTACTAACAGCAGCACATTGCTTGACTTCAAAACAAATGTAAGTACTGTCTGTCAAATCCATCAAAATTATCGAAAGCCTTTACATTTGCGATTTTCCTGGGAATATGCATAAATAACACTGATAAAGACAGGATTTGTGACATGAAAATTTTTCGGTGTGTCTTATGTATTTTGAGACCCTTAAATCAAATCTAAAATCAGAATTTTTCCATCACCAACAGATATTCGGTAACATCTACTTTTATGAATTACAATACGTAACATCTCATATTGCTACATTTCTCGGCATTTATGCGATGACGCACATATATAACGTTAAGACCTGTCTATGTTTAGAGAGCATATTGCGTTTATTAGTAGGCTAATAGCAGCCGAGTCAGTTACGTTTTCTGTATTGAAGAGTATTGAGATGTTCTGAGTATTGTTAATTTTTGTTAAAACGGTGTGTTGTTTTTAGTTTATTGTGATCGAGACTACCTTTATGGACAATGCCTAGAAATTGTGTAATTAGTGCGAACAGTTTTTGTTATGTGTGCGGAGAGCTAACTTTTAAATCCCAAAAACGTACTTTTACTCCCATTGTGTTGCAAGCATACGAACTTTATTTTGGAATTAAAGTTGGCGACCAAGATAAACTATGGGCTCCTCATATATATTGTAAGACTTGTGTAACGTTGTTAACAGGTCGGTTAACAGGTGACAATCGAAAAATGCCCTTTGCGGTACCAATAGTTTGGAGAGAACCGAGAGACCATACTACTTGCCTCACAAATATTAAAGGTATTGGACCAAAATTGAATCATACTGTTAAGTATTTCAATTTATCATCAGCTTTGCGGCCTGTTAAGCATAGTGATAAACTTTCTGTCCCAGTTCCACCAGAATCTTGGTCTTTGGATGAAAAAGTGGAATCCACCGATTCTGAAAGTGATGGTACTGAAAGCGTAAAAATTTCCGATCCTTCGTTTGACCTGTCAGGATGTTCAACAGCGCTGCATTTGATCACACAGGGCGAAATTAGTGACTTAGTTCGAGAATTAAATCTGTCAAAATCCCAGTCAGAACTTTTAGCGTCAAGATTAAAAGGACGGAATCTTCTCCACGGTGATGTTAACATTACTTTTTACCGAAAACGGCAAAAAGACCTCTCACACTGTTTCCGTCAAGAAAGGGAAATGATACACTGATCCGATGTCAACAATTTGTTTGACGCGTTAGGACAGAAACATGATCCTTTAAGCTTAGTTTAAAAGCGGTATTGGTACACAACGGTAATAAATATCCATCTCTACCTATAGCGCACGCAGTTAGAGCATATCCGTTATAATGACTATGGATGGGCCATACGTGCAGATTTCTTCTTGGAATGCAACTGGGATATACCAAATATCGTTGTTTTCTTTGTGAATGGTACAGTCGTGCGTGAGATCGTCATTATGAACAGATGGAGTGGCCACTACATCAGGTATTAACTCCGGGTCTCAAAAACATTACTCATGAACCACTAGTTGATCCCAAAAACGTGTTGCTTCCATCTTTGCATATTAAGTTGGGACTGATGAAAAATTTTGTGAGAGCTATGGATCGAAATGGAAGAGGGTTTCTGCATTTAAAACAAACATTTCCTTAGTGAGGCAAAAATTAAAGAGGCCATATTTATAAATGAAACTGAATTGAGAGCCTGAGAATGCTTTTAAATCGGTTACTGCAATTTTTTTAGGCAAACTGAAGGCGGACAATTATAAAGATATTGTCAGTGAACTAATTAATGCGTATAAAGGAATGGGATGTAACATGTCTCTAAAAATTCACTTTTTGGATTCTCATCTCGATTTTTTTGCGGAAAATTTAGGTGCGGTAAGTGATGAACATGGTAAACGGATCCACCAAGACATTTTTGCTATGGAAAAACGGTATCACGGCAAATGGAGTGTCAATTTGATTGCTGATTGTTAAGAAACACTTCTGGAGCAACATATCGTCGTAAAACATCGACAAAAACATTCTGAGATTAGTGTTTATTCGAGTGTTTACTAGTACTCTTACACACATATAATATGGAAAACTACTAGGATTAATTTTTTGAAACATGCATGCAAATATTGGTATAAAGCAAATTTTATATACTCAGGTCTAAAATTCGTCATTTCGGAGCTACATGATTTTTTCAAATCTTTGGGCGTACATTTCTGACAAAATTCATAAAAGGTGCTCATTTTTTCAGTCAAGTCAATAGGCCACGGAGTACTGTAATTGAGGAAATACGTCAAACAAAAGAACGATTTTTAGATACATATAATATAGTAGGTACATCTTGTGTGGCATCCTTGGTATTCTATTAGACAGACAAATATTTAATTTTTGCTAATTGGTCTGACTGCGATAAAGTAATAGTAAAAAAATTAGCCATTGGCCCCTCTATAATGTAAAGTATCATTGGACTTTGAAGAAATTTTTAAAGGTCTGTCCAGTAGTACCAGTATTATGACTAAAAAATTAATAACTCCCCCAAACTTAACTTCATCTTTTTTTTTTCGTTCTGATGACTTCGGCGACAATCAAACATTCAAAAAAGTCAAACATGATTTTTTGATATATTTTAATTTCAGTCGAGAGTTTATTTGAAGGATTCAAAGCTCATGGAATCCAGCAAAACTAGTTTTTCAAATTCTAATCATCCAATCATTGTTGTGTAACTCCAAACACAACAAGAGGTGTGCAATTCAAAAATAGGTGGAGTGGAATTTGAGTCGAAAAATGGGGAAACTGCTGTTGTAATATGTTATCTAGAAAGGTCACAATACTTATTTGATGAGGCTAACTAGCCAAAAGTGAACCCTGCTGTGGAAGAAATTGTATAGAAGGATTTTAAAAAGGAATTTTTATATATTCTTTAGAGTGAATGCAAAGACGTCTCATCTCGAAGTAAAAAATTCTAGGTAACTTTTTTATCAAACTTATAGGGGATGAATATACCTTCAAAATTAGAACTAATAGATGTGATTATTTTACTGCAACAGTTATTGGTTATCACAAATAATCGTATATCTTTTGCCGACAAGTGCACAAAAGTAAATATGAAATACTTGCCAAAAGTTAAGCCTTTGTAGTGATAAGATAAAAAAATGCCAAAAATGCTCATGCTATCCAGCCACGTAACGTTTGCAACATATTAGGCATGAAGGGTGACTTTTTAGTATGTAATGTAATTTCAATGTAATGTGAATATCGCCATTACAATAAAAGATATTAAACTGTGGATAACTATACAATTCCTACTTAGAAAATCTACCACCCTCTACATCTACAGGATCATTCATTACTACATAACAACAGAAACATTTTTAGCATATTCTAATGTGTCACTTCATAAGAAGTTTTGATATATTGTGGCTGAGGATATATAGTAAAATACCAAAATTGATGACAGTAGCGAAAGTCATCGTACGCCACTGCTATTACGCGGAGGCCTTCTTTGTGAAATGTCGGTAAACGTCGCTGTGATCAAAAGGTACAGCGTCAAACCAGTGGCGCACGATGACTTCTGCTACTGTCATCAATTCTGGTATTTGACTATAGCATATTATACTAATTTCTGAAATAATTTCTCTTTATTTGATATTCATCTGTTGTTTTTCCACTATCACTTGAAATTTCGTCTTATAGCCAAAAATAGTCTAATAGAATATGTAGAATAATATTTACCTAGTTTCTTCTAGAGATATTTGAAAAACAAATTTGTCGTATTTTCACCATTGTCATCTTCGACACGGTAAGAGGTACGTATCGGTTGAATGGTGGCAAAGTTGCGTAATTATATATTTTAGAAAATTAATTTGTAAAGTTTGGACGCATCGAGTATCACCGAGGATTCGCGGAAAAGGAACGAATTTTCCAAAATCGTTTATAATTGTTTCTGAACTTATTTGAGATAGGATTTCAAAATAAACTGCACATTGACAGTGTCACTTGTTGACCTCTTCAAGGTGGCATACATAGCATATTAATATATAGATTTTTCGTCTCTTATCCCCCGTCTCAACTTTTTTGTGTATGCCATTTTTGGATTGGCGTATAGTTTTGAATTCCGATTCCAAATATTGTAGCATGTCATATATTAATATTGCAAAACTATAATTATTTAAAAAAACGAATTTTTCTGAGTAAGCCTTGACATTCTCATACCTGTATAGTCGTTCATTTCAGAAACAATCAAATAACATGTTACGGATTTTAACTAATCCAAATAATTTCCCATCTAACAGATTCAGTTTGTGGAGAATCCTGTTCATGAACAATTTAATTTCTATGAAAAGCGTTCCTTTCGTTTAATTTTTGCCGAGCTAGAGGGCAGCTGATCCCCTTGCCCCCTCTGGGTACGTTCATGGTATCATGACAAGTTTCAAATTATTGCGATCTGTAGATGGGACGAGAGGTATCAGATCTTAATTCTGTTTGCAACTGTTTGCGAGGCGGGTTCGAGACACAACAAAATTTAACCGAGTTCAACTGGACCCTTCTGTTCTTAACTGTCAAGTCAGTATTACATATAAGCAATGAACAGCATCCAATAGGCAATAATGTTAAAAATGCACTATATTTTAGCAAACATCAATACCCAATTATGCAAAAATTTATCTACTTCAGAGTAGTGAAATCCTAGCGAACAAAAAATCATCTTTCGAATGCACCTTTTGTACTTACTACATACACTTCTTCCAGAGGAGATGTTCAAATAGTTCGTTTGGGTACAACAACTCTTCAAACGGAAACTTTGGAATCTATGGACTACGGAATCTATCGTAAGATTCCTCATCCACGCTACGTAGTTGGTCAACAGTACAACGATATTGCCTTGATAGAATTGTATCATCCGGTAAAATTCACAGAATTCATACGGCCAATTTGTCTGGATGATGAAAATGGTTATACTGGACGAAAGCTCATAGCGACAGGTAAAAACTTCACTATTTCGATACATTTACTCAACACCTAAGTACGCAAATTTCACACATATCATCGGACACACAACGTGCATAGCAGAAACGAAACTCGACTAATACGCCAAACCAAATAGAGAATTACTTTACAATTTTGTAGTAACGTTTTAACTCTACTGAAGTTTCACAGGATCAGTTTTTCAGAGATCTGTTTAATTGTTTCTGCATATAAGAAGGAATCACGTAAGCTAATCGCGACGATCTCACGGATTTCATTCAAATATTTCAAATAAGACATTGCGGCTTTTCTGAAAAAATAACACCTTTTTTAAGCATCTACAGTGCTTTCAAAAAAGGGCTCTCCCACTTTATTTTTTGAGCGGGTCAGGATAGCAAGCCAAAATTCGACATGATCAAATTGTTGCATAAATACAATTCAAAATTCCAAGATGGCGGCTGGACGCTATTAACATACGAATATATCAAATTTCTCATAAGGTCTAATGTGAATGTTTTAGAAATTATCTCAGGAACAAGAAAATCTATTTAATCCAAATTTCGCAAAAACATATGTCAATACAACAGTTTAAATATATATTCAGACATTTCTATAAATTGTGAGCCAACTCAAATACTAGCTGTTGATTTTAGGTTGGGGTAGAATCCAAGCAACTGGATCTGTGAGCAAGGACCTTCAGAAGGTAGATCTGGATTATTTCCCCCATGACGAATGCCAGCAAAAGTATGCAAAGGTATCGAAGCAGGATTTACCGTATGGCATAGATACTCAGACTCAGATATGTGCTGGTAGTGAGAGTGAAGCTAAGGATTCTTGTCAGGTAAAATCTTCCAAGATGCCGGCAAATATATAGGATTTATTATCGAAAATGTATCATACTACATGAAAACTAGGAATAGATGCATTTTGTTTTGGTGCCCTTATATTTAAAAAATCCAGGATTGTTTTAAATACACAATTATTAATTGTCGAGATCATCATTTAGAATTACGGCGACTGAATTTGCACATCCGCCATTTTTTTAAGTTCTCACAGATTAAAAACTACACAGATGGTAGCTTCTCCCCGCCGAGTAACTCTAGAAAACCTCCCAAAGGCCGACATCATCATTAATGAAACAAATCCGCCTGCGCATTCAACTAACTAGAATCTTGTACACACGTCTCAATAAGCTGGACCATCAGTATGGGCTCTACAGCAACCACCATCTTACGATCTCCGCATAAAATTTTGAGCGATTCAAACAATCATGCCCACTTATTTGCTTACCGTTCATCTGTCTCCAGGACTATAGACGCATTGGTGAGTTGCTAATGAGCACAAAATAACGCTGTCTGCTGTTGGACGTGGTTACAGAGTCGGATAGCAAACATGTCCATTTCAATATAGCATTGACGTTAGGATCTCGTTAGGAGGGATTAAGTAGAAAAATAAAACAAATGTAGAGAGAGATTGGCATGAATTAACAAACGACCAAACCTGCTGCCAAATTTAACAGCTAGAAAATCGACCTATTATTTGCCGCATTTCCATTCGCTGAGGGGGATAACGGATGGTCAAATGAACACCTATAACATAAATCAAAATACATGAAAGTTGTCCTGTTTTCTCTGTACAAAAGCATCATGTTGGAATCAAATAGTGGTCTTGTTTATAATACAGTCGAATTTTCACGATTTTATTCAACATTTTCATAGAAATCACTGATATTCTGTGACCTTTGACAGCTTCCGTCAAATTGCATTTCGATAAGGTATTTTCCTATTGGTCCATAATAATAATGTTGGTGAAATCGGCCCTTAATATAGCTCTTTATTGCATGGGTGTCAGGGGTGGAGCATAGGGATCAATCCTCGTACTAGTGGAGAATGGAGGATCCAAGGCAGAGAGTCTGGCTTCTCACGAATTTTGAGTTTGAAGCATAAATACAATGAATCATGCTTGAACAAGATAGTTGATATATCTTTTTTCTAGGGGGATTCTGGTGGACCATTACAAGAAAAAAGACTAGGACGGTACTATCTACTGGGAATCACTTCTTTTGGCATTGGTTGCGGAACTCCTGGCATACCGGGAGTGTACACAAAAGTTTCCTACTACATACCGTGGATAGAAAGTGTAGTTTGGCCATTTTCGGGTTGAGTACCTTTATGTACTTATTACGTTATTTATTCTGTATAATGGTTTTAGAAATGGTATTTAAACTGTATTTCTTACATCATCTGAATTTATATTTGAAACATTTGATCAAGTTTATACTTAGAAGTAGATACATCTACTTTACTATCCAGAATGACGAGAAATATGTAACTAAAACTAAGTCTATGTCATCTAGTTTTTACTCATAGTTTATAGTCAATCGATTAATATTAGCAATAACCAACTTTCAAACCTCAACTATCATGGAGGCAGCAAAAACGTTAATAAAGTCCTTTATTCAATCCTAGGATTTAATCACACAAACTTTGGAACCGTCCATGGGTTCTACTGACAAATTGACGTAGGACGAAATTTGTATCTACGCCAGCCATTATTGGCCGCAGTTTTGAAACATGACTATCAAAGAATCATAGTTTCTAAGTATAGAGATACCCAGCGGTTTTTGGACAAAACATAATGAGAATGGGACCCAATCGATTTATCTAAAAATTCAGTATGTATGATATACTTCTGGTCTGAAGAAAATCTCTCATGGGACCAAAGCAATCCTATGATTAGTTTCTAACATATAATGGGGAGGGTGGAAGTTTGCCGAATCATCCTCAAGAAAACCATTCAAATGCAGGTTGTATCAAATCCAGGAAATCCTTATAAATAAAATAGCTGGTGCCCTCATTAATAGATCCTCCAAATCTCTCATTAGCGCTTTAGCTGTTGGGAATGTCGCAAGAGTCCAACGTTGATCTAAGTTAGATGAAATAATAGAAGATATCCACACAAGGAATTTAATCACGCTTTAGAAACCTAATAGAGTATCGACTAAGGATCGACAAGTTTATGAAAATAACGAGAATTTACCTGATGATTATGCCATAATTATTGGGCATTACTGCAGATGTAAATGTGGCACCCAAACATTAGACACACGTGGTTATTTATATACTCTCCACGAGATTGAAGTTCGTTATCTTTCGAAAAAGTTGGCCGGAAGCAGGTAAAAAAAAAGAATAGTCAAATTGATAGTAAATAAATTGCAGTACTCTAAATCTATGTTCACATTAGTACGCTTTTATTTTCTCTTCACAATGTTCATGACCTTGAATTGGTCATCACAGACAAGTAGGTAAACAACCACGACTTTTCCGTGCCCTTGTGACGCAAACTCTTGAGTGAATTTTTTGAATTCTCTAACAACTCGTGCCAGATCCATTTCAGTTTCAATGTATAAAAATAAGAACTTGACCTTGTAAAATCAATATGACACGCCCCAGAAACTAATCATAGGATTCCTTTGGTCCCATGCAAACTTTTGTTTAGGAACGCAAGAAATACATATATCATACTCTATTTTTAGACAATCGACAGCGACACACTTTCCGTATGTTTTGTGTGGGGTCCTTTTCTCATAGGTAGGGTCAGCTTCAACATTTTGTGCTCCCTGAGGCAAAAGACAAACTATATGCCCTCCTCCCACATTGATTGAGAATTTTGCGTCTTCCATAACACTGCGCCCTAAGACGACTGCCTCACTTGCGTTGCTCATAGGAAACCTAAAAATATGATATAGGACTTTGTAGAACAAGTTTACCATTCTGGACATGGCATCTGGGAACAAAAAATTCTGAAGAATCTTGGAAAGTCACGGGAAAACGAGATTTTGTAGAGGGTTAGGGCTATCAGGGAGGCCAGTTTTTGTAGAGATCGCAGTTATACGCAACAGTTTTTGAAATGTTTCTAATGATAAATCTAAAAATATAGGTATTTTGAATTCAATTTCGGCCAGCCATTTTGCTACAAGATGAAGAAGCGTCATGCATTGAATAATTTGGTGTGCTAAATTCGAATATAACTGCAAAAAATTGAGTAAAGCTTCATGGGGCCGAATGTGAGGTAGAAAATGGGTCGCTTGTGGCCCTAGCGTAAAACATGTCCGATTTGAAAGCTACGCACCCCGTTCACCAAAAAATTCAGTTTTTTGATATGCGGCGGTTTATATGAAGTTTCTGACAGGAAACTAAAAAATTAATATTTTAATATTATATAGGGCTTTCCGAATGAACTTGTTACACTTAGGTGATTTAGGACCTAAATTCGAGTATGACGAAAAAAATCGTTGTCATTCAGGCATATAAAATGGGTCGCTTGGGTTTTCGTTTACAACGTTCTTTTTATCAACATGTTTGATCAAGTTCATTGCAATTACGTGTCATCTAAGTGTAAAATCAATAAATTTTGTGTATTTCATTACTGATTTTTATTCTGAAATGATTTCCTTGATGATGAAATTTTATAATGGCGTCAAGTATTTGTAAGTAATTCATAATTACTAATTACGGAGTACAGACATAAGTCAAGTATATTCAAAAGGCGGAATCGAACCTTGACTAGGAATCGTGAACCTACGTATATATTCCTATAAATTTATCATATTTCTGTATGATTACATCTAACAGGTGAGTGATATTACCGGGATCAGCAAATTTTTAATAATAGAACATCTTTCACTAATACCTAAAGTTACAACAATTTACTGCAACTAACCCCCTAGCGCTTCCAGACCCCAATTTCCTCCAAAAGTTTGATGATGATGTTTCAGCGACTCTTCATTTTTTTCTTTCTAATACATAGCTCCGCCGCCACTGAATCAATTTTGAAAAACTGCTACTACCTAGGTACTTTCCGAAATATAGTGGGTGTAAAGATTAAGGAACAGGCAGGTAGGTTAGCCCACTAACTTTCTCGGCCAAGTGGCATTCAGGTGTCTCGCCACTACTCGGTACGAGCATGTGGAGAACAAATTGTATATGTATATACTTGACACCATAAAGGATAAAGTATTGCAATCGCAAAAATATTTAAACTTAATTAATTTCAGAAACGCCTGCTCCGATTCAATGAAATTTGGAGAGCATAAGCAAATTTATAGGCAGAGGAATAATGAACAGAAAACACAACGGCATCAAACCGTTTATAAACTTCGTTTTCGTGGGTTTGCCAAATTTCTGGTACAAAAGAAATTCTTGTCGGAGCTACGATTCTCAAAAATTAAGATAATGTATTTTTCACAACTTAAAAATATAACTGCATTATGGTACACTCGAGAAACGTTTCTCAGAAATTCAGAATTTATCAATGTAAAAAAAAACGAAGTTTAGGCGATTTTTTTTTCGTCCTTAGCCCCTAACTCCGTTGCCACTGGACCGATCTTCGAAATCTATAATATTTTTTCGTTCTTGTTATATAGTAAGCTTGTGTCAAAATTTCATCAAAATCCGAGCGGCACTTTCCAAGATATAGTCGGGCCAAGAATTAACAGACAGAACGACTAAAATGAGTGACGCGGTTTTTCGTGATACAGATGTCTTACCACTAAAAAACAAAATATCTCATGTTAAAAATCCTTCGAGATTACAATGCTTCCTTGACTGCGGGGTGAGAATTAAGAGAGACATTGCAACTGCTAAGAATTAATGATCTTACAATGACTATTTCGTGCTCATACAAAGAACATTCTACTCGTATATTACTACTATCTCCGACAAGGCTGCCATACAACTTAAGTAATACAAAAACAAAGAAAAATTTATCTCACATAGTTGCTTTTTTACTCGCTTAAAATAAAGATTCTGGCATTATTTTATTGGAAACAAAAGATCAAGGATTTTCGGCCCGCAGAATAACTCAAATTTCAATTAGTTAATCGCATCTATAAACCTTTGCATTTGAATATTTCAGACATATGTATCTTGAATATTCATCAACATCTTCGTTTTCATTCTGAATAAACAAGAAACTAGTGCTTGATTGGTTTAACAAAAAAGTTTGCAATGTTGCCAAATGCTTGAAATTTGAGTTACTTTCAGAGTCGAAAATCCCGCTTGTAAAGCCTGATCCTTTGTTCGCCTTGTATCAGTAGCTTTCTGTAAATATTTTTGCCAGACCACATACTGTTTTGATTGGCTTAATAATATTAGTTTGGCCGCACACGTTTGGAATCTCCTAGAAACAAGGTCAGCGCGTTCTTGGCAGAAATAGTTTAATAATCCCAGACTAATCTGGGTCAATATTTCGAACGTCTACGGCCACGATTATGTCTAGGTATCAAGTCAAGGCTGGGTCTTTGGGATTTATTCAATTTTCAACATCACATTTATCATAATCACTTCCACACGTTATCTTCGATCCATTCAATGTAAGCTGATACTCTTGTATAGACTCCAGGAAGGTTTTCCACTGTGGCACATGACTTTCCGAACGACGTAATGCCAATAATCTCATACATGCATTTAACGTCATCTGGCCCGTCATAGTAAATTTGCAATGGACCTCCCGAGTCACCCTGGAGCAAAAAAAAATAGTAGTTCGGGACCCCATGTATAGTATTTCTACTCCTTATTGAAGCTGCAAAAAAATCAAGTTGGCCTGAGGGAGAAGACTGCGTCACACTTAGTACTAATATGATTTAATACTTGACTATTTCTTTAGTTTATAAGTGTGTACTATCGTCAGAAGATCCAGTAGAAACCTTATGGGTAATGGATTTCGTCTATTATTTTAATTGCAGAATGTTGTAGATCTCAACACCTAGAACAAAGTGGTAATCGGCCCAAAATTTGTCCACGAGTAGTTTCCGACAAGAAGGGTCACTAAGTTAATCACTCCGTGCCATATTACACTAGAAATTGACAGAAATACATGGTAAAAAGTACAACAAAAGTTGATCTGTCGTCTTACACACTGAGAACCTAATTTGTGTGAGAAAGAAGTGTGATTGATAGAAGCCGGCTGGGTAGCCAAGCTCATCACCGCGTTGCCTAGCAAGGCTAATGCGATAACTCAGGATGTGTTGATTTTATTACCATCGGTGGAAATCAAAGATAATTCCTAAATAAATTAAGACACATTTTGTTGATAATACAATTGTTGATAGATATTCGACTGCACTAAACAGATTTTTGGAATTTTCAGATCTTTCTCAAACCAATACTATTTTGAATGGTAGACAAAGGATGTTCGATTTGGTGATAACTGACATGACCTGCGAAACTTATCAGGATAAATTGCCGTTAATCAAGGAAGACTTGCATCATCCTTCTCTATTTGTAGTTTGTGAAACTAAATTCAATGCCACTCTTAATTTTGACACGAATGTAGCAACTCCAACGTACAACTTCAGGAAAGCTAATTTCATTGATGCCTTGACTCACATTGATTGGCCTTTTTTGGACAACGTGGAGGATGTCTATTACATGTGTGACTTGTTCTACGAAAAATTATACTTCGTTTTTGACCTGTACGTTCCGAAATATATTAAGCATAAGACGTAGACGTAGACTGCATCAACAATATAAACGTTCCAAAAGTCAGGAAATCTATGGACAATTTTCTAGGGTCCGTGCACTTGTTAAACAACAGATAAAAGACTATTATAATCGATATCTGCAAAAAGTTGAAAGTGATTTGGTTACAAATCCGAATCATTTTTGGTCATTCATCCAGTCTAAGAAAGGCTTATATAGAATATCAGGTAGGATGACCATTGCTAATGAAGTCGCAGATAATCCTAATCGGACTATTAGTTCATTCGCAGAGTATTTCCAAAGTGTTTATGTTATAGATAATAATTTATACCAACATCCCGTTGTTAATACTCAGCATGCCTGGCACTGTGTAAATTACCAAACAAGTTAACAGCAGGAGAAGATATGGTACCAGGCTTTGTAGTCCGTGATGCGGCGCACATATTTGTCACCCCTTTAAAGAAAATGTTTAATTATTTCCTCAATTCAGCAATTTTTCCTACAAAATTTAAACTGGATAGAGTGTGCCCTATTCTTGAAGCTGGAGACCCTAGTAAAATCGAACCGAGCTATATCTATATTGGATAATTTTTGGTAAGGCATTTGAGATATCTGTATACAACCACATCTATCCTTTGACTTCGCATCTGATATCTGAGACGCAACATGGATTTATGCGCAATCGCTCTACTATTTATAACTTAACTGAAATCACCCAGGAAATTGCAGAGGTCTTATATAATAGGGGTCAGATGGATGTGGTCTATATGGATTTTTCAAAGGCCTTGGATAAGATTTGTCACCAAAGAATCATAGGTAAACTTCAGCATTTTGGTTTTAGCAATCATTTATTAGATTTCATTTCTTCTTACTTGCATGATAGAAATCAGTACGTTTCTTACAATGGTTTCAAATCAAATTTAGGCGCTCTTCTCTTTCTTTACTTTATCAATGACCTCCCTAACTGCTTAACCTGCCCTTCTCTGTTGTTTGCCGATGATTTAAAAATATATGCTCAGATTAACCGCATTGATGACTGTATTATCTTGCAAGCTGACCTGAATCATGTATTTGAATGGTGTTCAACTAATAAATTATTTTTGAATGTTGGCAAATGCAAAACCTGTTCTTTTACCAGGAAAACGAATCGAATAGTTTTTGATTACACACTGAAAGGTGTCAGTTTGATGTGTTGTTCCGAAGTAAGAGATCTAGGTGTGGTGTTGGATGTTAAATTAGAATTTACAGGTCATATTAGTACAATAGTATCATCCGCTATAAAAAGTCTCGGTTTTTTTATAAGAAACTGTAAATCGTTTGGTAATGAAACGGCACTGAAGGCTTTATACTGTACCTTGGTGCGTTCTAAGCTGGAATATGCATCTAGTGTATGGCATCCATATTAACAATTCTATACTAATGAAATTGAAAGTATACAGAGATTTCGTAAATACTTGACTTTCAAATTAGATTAGATTTTAAATGCATCCTCTTGAGCTGAGAAGAGTTTGTAATAGTTTAAAATTCCTTTTCAAACTTGTACACAGTGATGTTGATTTCTCAGCTTTATTAACTAAAATTGATTTTCATGTACCGTCCCGCATTTCCCGAAAATTTCTCGCTTTTTACTTAAAAACACCAAATTCTAATGTTATGATTAAGTCACCCGTGTACTTTATGTGCTCCAGCTTTAACACCATAGCTAATAATTGTGACACTCATCATGATAAAGTCAAAGATATATTAGCTGTATTCAGAGACTACTATTATTCAATTTATGACATTTAAGACATGTAGGTAAGTAGCTATTCATTTTTTCTTAAATTTTTTTTCAGAAACTGAACTAGCTATGATTGTAGTTAAAAATACTGTAACGTCAAATTGTAATCAATTACAATGTCCTTTAAATGAATGTATCTGTTGGGCAATAAATATATTATTATTATTATTAGTAAGATACTAAGTCGCATCAAAATTGAAATAAATAATTCTGTTCAAAATCAAAACAAAATATTCAATCAAATGTTCGAACAGACCTCCTTATTGAGTTTGACAGTAACCTAACCTATTGTAGAAGCCTGTGCGAACATTTTCAGATGTAACATCCTGGCAACGTGGCAGATTACACGACGTTCTGCGTAACCGTCGCTAGGCAATGTGGTGATGACATTCGTCCTTTAGCTGGTTTCAATTTCTTTCTAGCATGTGTTGATACACAATTCTCGCGCTTCTCTCTCGTACACATTGAACTCAAGCCGTCAGATAAATTTGGTTCTCCGTGTATAAGTTTCTTCAATCTTGTTGAAGGTCCTGTTTTTTTGCTCGTTTCGATTAGGATTAGAAATACAATACATGCAACCTCAGAATTTGCAGTACCTGACAAGTATCTCTAACGTATTCGCTGCTACCTGCGCAAACCATGATATCATCTCTGATTCCCTCTCCCAAGGAGGACCCTGGTTGGTTGATCTCACGCCTATACGTCTGATTACACTTATCGACAGAGTAGAATTCAAGAACCACTTTCTGCAAGTCATCACTGCTACTTCCTGAGAACTCAGTATTCCCCCAACCGGAAGCAATGGCCCTTTTTGAAGGAATCGACTGGGTGGTATGCAGGCAGGCGGGGCGGACATAAGTGTTCATCTCGAAGGAAGATATCTACAAGTCAGAATAAAAGTATTCTTTTTCTCAACCTCTCTCCTATAACTGGAACCTTATGATTTTTTAATGGCTCTTACGGGTGAATTTTAACAATAGGCTTATACGAGGGCCACGCTATATATTTTGAGATACACAAAAACTAAAAACTATTTTTCGAAAACTAGTTTATTTATGTTCAAAGTATTCTCCTACAGCATCAATGCACTTCTGTAGCCTGGCCTTCCACAAATAAAATGCTTCAAACCAGTCAGTTTTTGGAATGCTTTCAACAAACTGATTAATTGCTTGATCGATTTCATCTTCGGACGAACATTTTCGAACACGCAGATTATTTTCCAAATTGTTGAAGAGCCAGGAAGTCACACATTGCCAAATCTGGCGAATAAGGCGGATGTTCTAGCATTATGACGTGTCGCTGGAGTAAAAAAGTCTACAGTAAGTTGGGCAGTGTGGCTGAAGGGATTGTTGTGATGCAGGATTGCACCTCTAACATTCACAGCTTCGAGAACTTCTGGCAAACATCTAATGACGTACCAATTTGGCGAAACTGTACGCTGTTCTTCCAGCTTAATTGCTTTGTGCTGCGAAAGAAAACGGCGTACATGACTTTTCTCATGGCTCTCTGCTTCTTTAGCATTGTTGGTGTAGGGTCATCTTCATGAATCCACACACGGCTTTCCTGTCGTGTAGGAACGTCATAAATCGGTATATAGGTTTCATCACCTGTTATTATTTTTTAAGGAATACGATGACCGCCATTGTTTAACATTTCCAATTTTTTCCCACTAATCCTAACACGCTTCTCCTTTTGGAAATCAGTAAGCTGATGTGGCACCCATCTTGCAAAACCTTTTTTTTAAATGAAGACGATCATGCAAAATGGTGTACACTGTTGCGGATTCTAGCCCAAGAGTTGCCTCTATAGTTGCATATGTGCAGCGCAAATCTTCTTCAATTAGCCGCTGAACTATAACAATGTTTTCTGGAGTCACACGAGGACATCGCCTACCAGTACGCTCTACATCAGCCAACGAAACACGCCCTCTTTTAAATGCGGCCTACCAGCGAAACACACTTGCCCGGGACGGAGCTTCATTACCAAATGCCGTAACCGTTCGATACATTCATGTTCAACTAAACGGAATTTAAAGTCATAGTAAATGGTGTTCTTTTCTCCAGCTGATCGGCAGAGATCGGCTGGTCAGTCTGAATTCCTGCATGTCCAGTGCTGTCATGGACAAAGCTGGGGATCGGACTGATCGCACAGGAAAGGAGATCGTTGATATGTAAGGGGAACAATGTCGGAGCCAAGATCGATCCCTGGGGAACACCCGCGTTGACATTGTGGGATGAAGAGGAGAACCCGTCAATTACGACGGATATCTTGCAGCCTGCAAAGCTTATTCGGGAGGCCATGGGGCGGGGGTGCATGCATAAGAGGGTAGCATGCCACAGCTAGTAGAACGCATTCGTGACATGAGCCTCACCGTGAGCCTTAAAGCTAACATAATCATCGTTGATGAAATTTAGCCAAATCCGTGCAGAAAGATAATTGAAAACTGAACTGACTAAAATTTTCCACACATTAGAGGCATACGCACATTAGGAACAAAAGTTATTTCCACACTGTTTGCCTTATTCCAGTTTAATATGGCCGTGCCCTTATTGAAAAACCCTTTATTTTTTATTTGAACACTTACCTTCAAGAGACCAATATCGTTGTATTTGCCTTTATATGTAGGATGTGAGATTACTTCCAGAACATCTCTGACCTGCATATTGGAGGTATCATGTAAATTGGTCATACCTGCACGTACCTTTACCGGTTTACCACTGGAAATAGAAAAATCAGTTGCTTTTATTGAGCTTTATATCAATTTTCTGACATTAATGTTCATAAAGAAAAGTTAAAAAATTGAGCTGATTATGATAGAGAGTGCCAGATTGGAGATTATGACATCTTATACAAAAAGTGGCATGCAAGTGCATTTTTAAGTTATGTTTCAAATGGAGAGAAATGATACCAAAGTATTCAGTTTTTAACATCTCTTCAATAATATTCTGATCCAAAAGCATGTGTCAGTTTCGTAGTTATATAACTTTCTTCGTAATTCCATACTCACTGTTGATTATGCCACAGGCAGTGAGCTGCCGTCAAAACAAAATTTTCAGCTATTAAAGTTCCTCCACAATACCAACGTGGCTTTTCACGGTTGTAGCCAACTTGAGCCTAAAACAAACTAAACGAATCGGTTTGGTACCTCTCTTGTTAATAATAATAATTCATTCGCACACTTCATTAAAGTATAAAATATTTAAGAAGGCAAGAAATAAGCGAATAAGTGAGAGTCCCACAGGAAGTGTACGTGTTTAATGTAGGAATCAAAATACGTTTTACAGAAAGTATGTACATATGTACAATACAAAAATTGATGTGTATGCAGATTAATCTGTGGAAAATTCGTCGAACCGAGTCAATCTACTTGGAGTCATTTTCTAATCACGTAGCCCTAAGAACTGGCCTAAATTAGCATAAAAGATGTTCAGCACGTATGAGAAAACAATCAAAGTCATAACACACAAAAAAGTGTGTTCGGCATGTTTTTTTGTGTGGAACAAAAGGTAATAAAACAATAATATTGGAGGAAGTTATTGAGGATACAGTTAAGTAAGAAAAAAAAAGAAACTAAAACTAGTAAGCTGGGGACTTTAAAAATATTGATTTTTGTGTGATTGGTGCATATTGAAAAGTAATAATTTGTTAATAAATGATGATTTAATTAATTAATGACAATTGCTTAATTATTGAACATGTTTTCATTGCATTTCTCTTTTTTGTTACTTAAATATAGCCTGCGCGGCTGCTTCGGTGTAAAAAATATGCTTAATAGCTTCCTCCAATATTATTACATTTCATTACCATATTTTTCACAATAGAAAGAAATACAGCATACTGCTTTTAGATCCTTACAGTAGTGTTACCACTTAAACCAATATGGTGTTAGGAATTAGGATTATTTAGAGTTTGTGTTGAAATGTTTATACAGTACGTTGTCACCAAAACTACACAACCCAGGCATCACAAATTTTACCAAGTTGCACACCTCAGCCAGTGTTGACATTTGCGCTTTATTTCTGCTACATACAATGTTTGAGTTGTATAGTTTTTGTGATAGCAACTTGAATGAACGTATAGTCCTTTGGAAAATAACTTGTGAAAATACGAGTGATAAGAGTATATACCATGTGAGGAAATTCCATCCTGCTGCTTTTTGATCCTCCTACGATAAGTGGTTCTCTTTCAAACGGACACTTGCAATCTTTGGTATAGTAGGAAAGAAGAGACAGGGTCGGAGATTCTATAAGTGTACATTGGAAATCGGCGTATTTTCTACACACTAAAATATTAAGATTTTATATACACGTGATAATGTTATCAGCTTGATATATTGATTTTTTATTTAATATTGACGGTAGGAGGGAACATCGGAAATGATTTCCCTCCCGGCACCGAACCTAATAAGAAAAAATCCACTGCAATGTTGAGAGCATACCGCACTCCGCGACGATTTCTTATAACCTGCCATATACTTCTATCTAGGAAGAATCTTTTTAGCCCGGCACGGGAACACAAACTTTTTCCACAACTCTCTATTATGGATGAAAAGTTAGAATAGCTTAACGAAAAGTCCTATAGGATGCGGTAACAGGTACTACAGAATTTTTGAAAAATAATTTGATTTTAATCTTTCCATTATGGTTTTTTACAGTTCCCAAGAAAATCTTCTAGATGATAAATAACCTAGATCAATTGTCTCTACAATATTTTCATATCTACGTTCGTTCATGAGATAGAGTTAATTTTCTTAATGTCCTGAGTTCAGACGTAAATGCACATAGCGGAGTCATGCTTGTTGCGAAAAACTGGCCTTTTGTACATGTAAGTATTGTTAAAGTTACTCGAAATACTTTCATCAGAAATAGAGCGATTCCACTCTTAAGGTATCAACTGAGGGGGAAGTTGAAATGACTTTATGTACTGAGTTAGAGAAAAGTTTCGGGATAACACCGCATAGGCAAACCGCTATATGATTTTGAAAAGATGTGTGTCCTAAAATAGCACTTAGTCTCAAAAAATATTTTCCATACTTAAGCATGTTTCCACAAGATAAATCTTTTAGAACAATTTTAATATATTTCACGATAAAATTCTGTTAATAATTTCCATTAATTTATAGAGTTTGGCAAATGGCTCAAAAAACAAAAAACTATTTTATCAATCAGATGGCTAGAGAATCCCGCATACGAGCATTTATGCATGGCCTAATGACAGCTCCAAGAAAATTAGTTTTATCCCGTAAACGAACATAGACATGGAAATATCGTAACTTTTGTAGGTTATTTACCATGCTAAAAAAATTGTATAGAGGGCCCTTTTTCTCAATGATATTTAAAGGACAGTAACAAAAAAATAAAAAAACAAGAAGTTTCTGCATTTCCTCCCCAGGATCCAGAACAGAATTTTTGTTAGTCTTCTTTTACTGGGCTATTTCCTCTCGGTATCCGAGAGCCTTCCGAGAGATTGATCCCGCGTCGGCCCCCAGGCATATTTCGTTGCAATTTTTCTCATTGGTATGCTGTGCCGGAAGCTCTCTTATCGCCGGAGCGCGCTAGCTTCAAACCATAACTCAAAAGCGAAGTCATTTACATAATATTACGGACAAGTTATTCCCATACTTTGACGGCATTTTGTTCCTACAGTCAAATTCTCTGGCTCAGCCCTTATTTTGGAAGACACGTTAAATTCATCTGGACAGCAAATAACTGTCTGCAAGCCCTTAAAACCGCAAGTGTCCTCCATGGACGGATATTTCCCAAAATTTTTGACATCATCCATTACTGACTGGCATGAGGTGATTAGGACACATTTGCCTTGCACTTTTAGTGACGTAAAACAAAGAGCTCCTACAAAGAAAAACTGATGTCACTCATATATTTCTGAAAAGTCATAAAATATTTATATTAAAAAACTTGCAGTCTTATTGGCATTGGCTCTATGTTTGTCATTGTGTGTCAGAGTGATTCGTAGACCATTGCTCTTGGTTAAAGTCTTGTAGGTCGGTCAACTCTGGTTGCCCCAGATAGTATACGAAGTCAGTTAGAAAAGAAGGAAGAAGAATAAGGAGGGCAATTATACGGAAGTATGTCGGTTGGAGTGATAACTTCGAGTTGTCGGAAATTTTAAATTGGTTCCATATTTAATTTACAGATTCGTTACCGTGGAAAAATTATAGGTTTGTTTGAACTTTTGCAGTTTTACTTTTTTTAACAACACGAGCCAGGGTCTTGTGTGCTTGCGAACTCGAACACTCGACCGTGTGGTCTACTGTCTCATGCAACAAAGGGTTGCTGTGCGATTTCGCTTGACTATAACGTCACTGCGCCTTTTGTTCGACGTAGTCTCTTAGGTAAGAGATGGCGAGGTATTTGAAAGGTCTCGTTGGAGACACACCATGGGCCGTTAGTGATAGTACGCAAGAACCTCCAGACATCGCATGACTTTTGGCGAGAAAACGCCACGCCGTGCATACGAAAGTGATTGCTGGTGAAACAACCTTCTTGTATAGCCAAGCTTGGTTGACCAAACTTAAATCTTGAGGTTCTACACAACATAGGGTAGAATTGTCGAAACGTAATTTGAAATTTGGTTTTTAGCACTTTACTGTGCTTCTGCCAGCCCCCCTTGTCAAGGATGACCCCCCAGTTACATGGTACGCGAGCTCCCTTCACTGAAACCTCAGATGGGGCACCGCTACGTTTTCTAGCAGCATCTTTGCTCATGGTTAAAATCTTGTAAATCAGTTGGTCTGACAAGTTTGGTGGGCCAGATAGCAGCCAAAGTTAGAGAAAAAGCAGAAAACAAGGCAAATGAGAGATCAAAAAGAGAAGAAAGTGCGTCGGTGGAGATGTGCTTTGGCAATATAATTAGGTTTTTGGAATATTAAATTCATGTAGAAAATTGATTTGGATATCTGTTTTGTGGAAAAAATCTAATTTGACAGAAATTGCATGATTCAATTTTGCTCGCAGACGAGCCGCGGATTTGCTCGGCTGTGTAGCCTACGTTCTCACGGAACATATATTGATTCATAACTCACCTTCACCTAAATCAAGTCTAGCACTACTAACGGTCCACAAAATAGAACATAGAAGAATTTCCAATATACTCATTTTTGTTCACCTTTCAGTAGAGCTCTCTTCAAATAGAACAAACTCAAAAAAGTTGATAACGCGTTCATAGTTTTAGTAACCTCCGACCACTGGCTTTTCCTAATAATTTCGTTAATGTTTATGTATGCTTTTAGATCATTGTAAATGTTTATGCAATATGAATATCATTGGCGTGCACTAGACCTTATAAATAGATGCAAGTATTAGTTGCGTAACTATAGGGTGGTGCAAATCTGTTATGGTATCACAAAAAAGGCATTCGTGGTAATTCTTATTTCTATGATAGTTAATCAGCAAACAAATTTTTTTAAGATTTGTACAATTATCCAAATAGGCCGCTCTCGGGATTTCCGGGTGGAGGGTGGGCTCGAGGGAACAACATCGAATATAACAGTTGTTTCACGAACATATGCGGTAATAACAGCAACATTGATGCTGTTTATCACTACTTGCAATCTAATTGTCCCGCCATGCTTCTCTTGGCGGAGATAAAAGTCTGCACCGATTAACCATCTTAGCTTCTCAAATTACGAGGTGCACTCTAATCTGAGAAAGAACTTCCTCTGACGAGAGACCTGGAGGTTATCACTGCTTGTGGACGCAACAATCTTGTACAGTTTAATGCTTCGAAAACACAGTACTGTACTTTTACGAACAAAAAGCGTCCTAGCGCTCATCCGGTTTCGATGGATGGTCGAGCTCCGCCAAAAAGCCATTCATTTCGGCTGGTCGGAGTCCAGATCACCGAGGACCTGATCTGGCACGAGCACATCTCGTCAATAGCGGCAGCTGCTGGGAAAAAGCTAGGCTATTTGTTTAGGGCTAAGGAGTACTTTTCTCCGCATGACCTTATCACTCTATACAAGCCCCAGGTAAGGCCTAGCCTCGAGTATTGCGCACACTTTCACAGTCTCGGGACCCTTTTGCACCGGCGGGCCGTCGGCGATCTAGCTCTTTTCTACCGCTACACCAACGGGCTTTGCTCCTCAGGGCTCTCTTCCATGATGCCGCCGCGCGATGTGCCTGCCAGACCGACCCGCCTGACTTTGGCCTCCCATCCTAACCGTGTCGAACTTCGTACATCCAGAACTGACCGGTGCGACCGCTGCTTTGTCCCGAGGGTGTCGAGATTGTGGAACAATCTACAAGAGGAAGCTTTTCCCAGTTCTACTAACCTTAGGCAGTTCAAAAATCGTATTAACAAAATTTCGTTGGAATCATCATAGCAGCCGCAGTATACCGGCATTTAGGCTTCTGTCTGCGTGACTGCTTCGGTATATAAAAAAAATACTAACAACCTAGATGAATTTTAAAACTTTGATTTCATCTCTAAAGTACACGATTAGCGTATCTCAGAAGTTAACGTCATATTATAATTGAACACAGATACAGTAAATTGACTTGGTAATTCCATACATCTCACCTCATCTTATCAATTGTATTAAAATTATGCATCTTTCAACTTGCCCAAAACTGTACGGGATCATCAATCAGTACAACATATTTTATTAAGAATTTAATAATATAATATACAGTAGAACCCCGATTATCGGAAATAATGTGGACCCAAGTGCTTTCGGATAATCGAAATTTCGGATAAAACGGAAATAAATACTTACTCATCATTTTTATCGAAAAAAGTAAATGCGTGTGTGCGTGAGTATATACCTATATAAAGTTACGTAAAATATAAACATGTGGAAACAGACATACATATTTACGAGTATTTAGTAACAAAGGAAGTAGTTTTTAACTGTATACGTTTTGCATTTTTTCTATTTTTAGCAACAATATCCCTCCAACGTTTGATAAGTAGCACATCAGCTGCTGTCGCATTTTCTTGTTGTTCGACGTAAGTCGACGCCTTTTGTAGAGCTTCTAATCACTCAAAATGTGATATTTTGGCGGATATATCTGTCTCATTGTCACTAGCATCACTTAAAACTGTCTCATCACCACTGTTACAAACATTTTTTATTAGTTCTGTATCAGTTAATCCTCGCACCAATTCATCACCATTAATCCACTCACCAACATCTGCTTGGGTAAGATTTTCAGGCCCTGCCATTTTTACGACTAGCTCATGTAAATTTTCGCTGTTATTCTCATAGTCGGCGCAAGGTTCCATTTCTGTGGAGGGTGGTGCAAATTCAAGAGCCTGCGACCTATTATGTCTTTGACATGTTCAATTCGAGATAGGCTAGGCGATCGTGGTGGCCAAAGTAAACGGTTAATGCAATGTTGATCCATGAAGGCTAACGATGCTCTGGCAACATGCGGTCTGCCATTGTTTTGCTGAAAAATCGGGTTTTGGATGGTGTTTAGGTATGGATTAAGATGAAGCTCCACTACTTCCTGAATATAGCGTCGAGCTGTCATATTGCCTCTGATGAAAATTAGTGGTGATCTGCTACCATAAGAAATAGAACCCCATACCATAACTCCCAACTAACAATTATCACTCCTATTAGAGTTGCAAGAATGATTATACAGTATTCCTTACCCAGCATTGTATGCTGTAAGAACATTGGCAACCGAACTAGCAAAGTAGTGGTATAAGCTTTTGGTAAAAGAACCGTTCAGCCATAAAAGCTCTCTATTGTTGTTGCCTGAACACCAAAATGCTGGCTTAATGTTGTGTAGAATGCAAATTTGCTTTCTGCAACATATTTGCTCTAAAATGAGGTGTTTAAAATATTCTTGTAGCATAGTTATACAACACCTTATAGGGCAAATTTTTAACTGTTGCATAAACGTTTATACAACTATTTTATACGGCATATTTGCAAGTTAGTCAAAATGGTTGTGTTGTGGCACCCATGCTAACGTTTATAAAACAAACCCGAGCCTTGTTGCTTTGCTGTGCAATTTACTACATTAGCCAACAAATTGCTCCCAACGGAAGCACTTATACAACTGTTACATATGCTAAATATGTCGGTAAACAACTTCACCATAACCTAACTTTCTGCTGTCATATTTTTGTTAAAATGCCATAACCAATGTTTTAAGACAAATAACGCATGCATATCGGTTCAAAAGGTTTTATCAACTGTTCAAACAGAAGATATAGATCTGGTACAAATTATGGGTAAATCATTCGACTCTGTCGGTATTTCATTTCTGACATTTGTCAAATTGTTGTATAACACCTGCAGGCAACACCAAAATATTCTAATAACCTAAAGGCAACATGGACGATGCCATGATTGTACACAACCACCCGCCATATTGGGCAAACATTTATTCCTCTATTTAATACTAAATAATTATGTTTCAGTTCGAAATTACAGATATAAAGTGATAAACATTAGTGCAATTGTGTCTAAATATAGGATTTGTGGAAGATTTAACGCAGATAAGTTCAGTTTTCCATCTTAAAAATCTAGACATACTTTTGATCATTGTCAAAATATGAATCAAATACGAAGCCCGTAGAAATTGGATAACTAATTTGCACGATAATCACAATAAAATTTGCTGCGCAAGTAATTCAATAGCCCTATATCAAAGTGTAGAAGTTTATCATATACCTGTGTATGAAATTCACAATGGCCAATATGTAAGTAAACAAGATGACTGTAATGTCTTAGTTATATATTCTTCACTTCATCTATACAATACATAGGAAATAGTTTGGTTGCAATAAAGTAGAATCACGTAAGAGAATAGTTGTATAGTTGACAAAAACTGAATCTTGCACTGACGCAAATGTCCTATAGCGGCTGCAAGAGGCTTACACTTTTGTTTTATAACTGTTACCTGCAGCCCTTATACAACCTCTTAAATGACTGAAGTGTCCTATTAGGTGTGCCCATTCCGCTTGTATAGCTGTTCTAAGAGGGTTTTGCTAATGTTCTTACAGTATACAATGCTGTTTAAGGAATACTGTATAATCATTCTTGCAACTCTAATAGGAGTGATAATTGTTAGTATATATATCTTACCATATGAGGAAATTCTCGTCGACTGGCTTCCGTTCCACCTACAATCAATGGTTCCCTTTCAAAAGTACACTCCAAGACTTTTGACATCTGCGTATCAACTGTTAAAGTCGGGGATTCCTTGACTTCGTATGCATATTCCCCATACTGGTTACATTCTAAAATTGGGAACCATTAGTCTGTTTTTTCTGCAACTTGGTATGTGAATTAGACATCGTCCATTCAGATCATTAGTTACAATGACAGAATGTTGGATGTGCTCTTATTAAAAGTAACTTGCGGCGCCGGCGAATTGACAAAACGACAAATTCGCATTTTTTGGGTGCCCCTTAAGATGAAAGTTCTTTGAGAAAATAAGGCCATGAAATCTAAATACCCTCAAATTGGCCATTTTGAAGCTCAACAACTCTGTTGAAACCCATCATTTTTGAGGTTATCAAGTGTCTAAAATAAAAATAAAACAAGACCCCGAAGGATAGTTTGGGATTAGTTCTTAGTTTATTTTAAGGTATCTACTGTTTTTTTAAATGTTAACAACGCCAGTGAAAATGGCTATTTTTAGAATTTTTCAGTATCTGAAATAGCTTATAACTGGAAACGGTCAGCTTTAGCGAAAAGGCACGAAGGAACTTTTTTGTTCCGAACAAGTCAAAACATCTTAAAAAACGCCCGGAGCAAAATAACCAATTTTTGTAATTTGAAAGAATTGTTTGTACTGGGCTTTCGCTTACACTTGGCTCATGATAAGCGGCATCCCATAAATGTGATTATGAAAAAAATCGAATCGGAAGATTTCTCCCGCGAACGCAAGGAATTGGTCTTGTAGATTCTATTAAAAGAAGTGTTTTTGAAAAATGGTGTTTCCAATAAAAATATATGGGTTTCAGGGTCGGATCTAGGGGATGTCTTGGGGTCCGGGCCACACCCGAAATATCTGAGTCCTCAAAAATTTTGAACGTGGTTTTCAATTCTAAACTTCACACATCACTTCAACTTGTACTTCGCAATTCTTATTGGCCTAATGTAACACCTGAAACTTATCCTGTGGTTTTCATGCTGATCATCATCCATGTTTAGCCGCTAAATGAAACCACATGTGGTTGAAATACTGTTTACAGACGACGACGTTTCGGCTTCAACAGTGGTCTTTTCAATTGTCAATTGTACTTCAAAAATACCACCGTTATGGTCGAAGGTCGTCAGTAAACAGTATTTCTAGCATAGGTAAATGGTTTCATCTAGCGGCCAGACAAATATTGAGGACTATGTAATAGACTTTTCTGAGTGGGTAATCTCAAATTCAT